AGGACCCCACCGAAGCCCAGGGGAGCGTCGTGCCAAGCCGGCACCGAACCAGCACCCGGGTGCGCTCACCGCCCCCCCCAGCCAGCCGGGCATAACGAGGCTTTTATCGGTGCTCAAAGCCACCCTCACATCTGCTCCGCGCTCGCCCCACGCTTTGACGTCAGCCCGTGCCGCACCCCACCCCACGCCACGCTCCGGGGGGGGCCCGGGCACAGAGGGGCCCTGTTGTGGTCACAAAGTCGGGTTTTTTCATGCAAAATTCCCCCCCCCCCGGCCCAGACAATGTCCCTGTTGTGGAGGGCGTGGAGGCGTGGGCGGGCGGAGGGACCGGCCGGGCACTGCAGGACCCTCGCCGCAGGGCAGGAGGTGACAGGGCTGTCCCCAAATGCCCCTCCGCGGCTGCTGGGCTCTGGCAGCCCAGGCACAGTGTGGCTGATGTCACCGTGAGCTGTGCCTCGAGAGTGGCACGTGGCCCATCTTGGTGGTGGCCGGGTTCCACCGGCTCCCTCTGCTTCTGTGCCACGCGGGTGTCACCAGCCCCGTGGCCGGCCATCCCGAATGCATCCGCGGGTGTTAAGTGCAAAACCACCAGAATCGGGTGCGTTCACCATAGGGAAAGTTGCCGCCCGTCACGTCGGGCCCCCACGTCACCCCAGTGATGGGAAGGTGACGCGGGACGCTCCAGCCCCCTTGGGGATGTCTCCAGCGGTGGCCTTGGCCAGCGAGTGGGAGCCAGGCTGCCGCACGTGACCCGGCCCACGCCAGCACGGCCGCGAGAGCCACTTCTGCTCCGGATGTCGGCTCCGCTCTCGCTTCCCCCCGACGCTCAGGAAGTGCCGCGGGGCCGGGGGGAGCATCAGGGCGGTGACAGCCCCAGCGCCGCCGGAGAGGGGCTTTCCCAGGGGCGCGGTGGCAGATGGTCCTGCATCCCACCAAACCAGACCCCGGGGTACCTTGTGCCCCGTCCCCCTGCCCTCCCTGCGGGGCAGTGCCTGGGTGCCATGGGGACAGGCCTGGCCCGGTGACATGGCCACGTACGCTGGGGTGGGGGCCTGTCCCTGCACCCCGAAGGCTGCAGGGCAGGACATGGGGAGGAACCGGGACAGGACGTGACACTTGGGGGGACAACACTGGAGCAAGAGGGGGACACTGGGAAGATGCTGGGGCAGGATGGGGCCGGGGTGGGGAGGTGCTGGGGCAGGAGAAGAGGCTGGAGGGGGTCACCGGGGCAGGACCGGGACACAGGGAGGGACACAAGGAGGACACCGGGGCAAGACAAGAGCCCAGGAGAAGACGCCGGGGCAGCCCTGCAGGGTGCAAGCACCGGTGGCCGCGCGGGACGG